CAGACAAAGTACATTGCCAGACAGGAAGAACACATCGAGTTTCACTCATATTCTCCTTCCAGTACACCTACCTTAATTTTCAGCATTCTGTCTGTAACAGTCTTTCCACATACTAATCCTCCATTCAAAACAGAGCTGGATAAACTTTAAATATGAAATCATGTATGTAATCCCTGCTGTAATGTTTGATCCCCTGCTCTTTTTTGGTGTGATAGGGCTAAAAAATTCGCTTATTGTAATTTAAAAAAAATAATTGAGAAGTCATTACTTTGAGTAAGGAAAAACCTCCAGCAGCTCACGCACTGGATGTCTCAACACTCTCCCTGTCTGAAATTACACTAGCAAAAGCTCTTCCCCTTAAAATGAACCTCAGTAAATATGTTGGCCAATAACGAGACCCACTGCCATATCTGAATTAAATGCAGAGTGGTCTGAGTGAATCCAGCACCACCCCTGAGCAAGCGGCTTTAAGGAGACCCCGCTTAGAAAGTTTCCAGTAGAACAGCGTTCCAACACAAAGTGCTGACTTGATGAAACCCAAAATATTCCACAGGAATGTGCTAATTCAATCAAAACTTTTGAAAGAGGACAGGCCGGCTCACCAAGCCAGCCAACCAGTCTAGTGAGCTGACTGGCTCTCCCCAGCTCTCCGGGGTCACTGGCTTCCCCATCTGGCCAGGCTCCAGGCTGCTAGTCCCTGCTCTCAGAAGGGCCTTTTAATAATAAAGTCTCACAAAGTGTTCTGAGAAACAAACAAAGGAATTTTAAAATGAAAACCAGAATTACTTCAGAACAAACTGCTAGGTTTCTTCAAAAGGAATTGCTTGCATTTGTTGCAAAGCATCTAAAACTAGTGCCCCTAGAGACACAAGTCTCTCCTGTGTCTCCTCAATTTTTATAAAACACCTTCCAGTGGAAAAAAAAGCATCAATACGGTAACAACGCAAAATGAACAATAACTATATTCAAAACCTAAACTTCACCAGATAGGTCTAATCATCAGCAAGGAGCTAAAGGCAAGTTGCTTCCAAAGCACTGTGAGTTATTCAAGTAAATGCCCCTGCCTGACCAAAACACAGGGCCACCTCCTAAGCAACATCTTGCGCAGAGCAGTCCCTAAGTGGGCTCCCTGCAAACTTGAATGACATGGTGCAAGGGGCCTCATTTAACACTTTGGAGAAGCTCAAAGGAATAGGTATGGCTATATAATATTTTAGCAGTGGTTTTCAAAAAAATCTGTCAACTAGCAAGTAACCCACTTTCTCCATAAAACTGGCTTTTAGCAACCTGTGGCTAAGCAGTGCATAGGACCTACTCTGGCTTCTCAGCAACTCCTCAAGTAACAGTATGAAGAAAGTTTTTAATTGCTAAAAAAAGCAAGGCTATTTAAGACACTAACACCAAACACCACAGTGTTTTTGCACAATTCCATTCATTTAATCAGCTTTTATATCAAAATGCCTAGATATTGGTTCATGTGTGAGCACCACAAGTAGTTTAAAGAGATACTTGGAACAAAGTTCCACAGAAAAAAGAAAGAGCTCTTTCTACACGCCAAACTGAGTAAGCAATGAGATCTCTGTTGCTTGCAAGTCACATGATTTGAAAGAATAAGGCTAATAAAATGTACTGATTTATTTATATGAAAATCAGCCCAACTTCCAGCATAGAACTGGGACAAATTTGTGACCACTCTCTTTCAGAAAACACACGTAAATCACACAGCTGCCAGAGTTTGCAGTTCACTGACCCTTCCTACTGCCAAAAGCAATGCACAAAGGTAGCTCAGAAAGCAATTAGAGATTGGCTGGGAGGACTCATTAATTTTTTTAAACTTCAAATTACATCTAAACAGTCTCATAACATTTTTCTGAGGAAGACTGTATGCCTCAGACTCACATTTAAAAAGAAAGAAGGTTTGTCTTCTCAGAATGACAAAATAAATAGTTTGCTCCCTGTTGTTTCTTAGAAAGAAGAACTAAAACATTTACAGTATCATGAGGAAACACATCTGGAACAGAACTAGACATAAGCACATAAGCAATCCAACTGCTCAATTTTTAAACATCTCACCACCTGCAAAGTCTAACACTCCCTTCAACTACTTGCAACACAAATTCAGAGAGAAAAAAAGGTGAGGGGAAAAAAAGGGGGAAGAAGATATTTTTCCGGCTAGTGGTAATAGGACTGGGAAACCACCAATGACCAACACAAGCAAATGATGTCTACTTGGCTCTATTTGAGTATGTATGGCATAAAGCCAAGATAACACTGAGAAAGTAAAGCATAAAGAGATGCCTTCCATTTTGGAAAAAGGTATCAAAAGTTGATAGCAGCATCTTTTCTTCTCTCAAGCAAAACTTGAGATGCCCTTCTTATGCCTTATGACAAAAAGGCAGATCCATCACTGATCTCCTCATCACGGCAAACAGCAAAATATACAAGGAAAAAAAAAGCATGCATATAGACATTCATATGCAATTCTGGGCCTGTAATCATGGCAGCATTAAGTTACCAATCTGTTAGTTAATTCTCTTTCATTAGCCTCACTAAAGGGATCACAATCAGACCACAAAGTAACAACTGAGCGCTGCACAGCTCTGAAGCCTATCTTCAATTTCTTTGTGCTGCAGTAATTTAAATAACAAGCCATAGGCTATAATTTAAGATTTAGTCCACCACTCCTTGTAACCAGCTGGAGTTACAAGGATCAGTGCACACTTCTATTAAGTGTTTATGAGAATGAGACCATACTTCTAAGTAAGTGTCTCTCTCAAACCAGTCTATGTAATTTAGTAGTTTTCTCCTTTCAATCTTATATAACCATTTTCTAGAATGAGTTTCTGAGACTGTCTATACAGCAGACACACTCCTAAATTAAGAAATGACATGTTACTGGTAGCAACTTGTATTGCATTGTCCACAACTGCTTTTGTCATGTTGCAGACTATCCAGAGAGTGGCTTCAGGTGCCACTTGCAGGTTTTACTTCTGCTCATTTATATGGAAGTTTGTTGACTCAACGGACTGCGCAAAGATAACAAGATGGCCCAAAGGAGCTCCAACCAGCAGTGTGCCAGCTGAGAGAAACGGGGTGGGTGGGAGGGAAAGGCTGAGTATGGCACTGCTGTGATACAAATGAACATCACAAAAAATACTGATAGGTTATGTTATGTAATTGCTGTTTGTGTGAAAAAAGTTTGTCAGCTGAGTGCACTCATATGGACATGTAGGGAGCAGCAGGGGCAAAGGATTTCAGTCAGTCAGCTCACAACTTGTGGACATCCCATCAGTTGGGCTACCGGCACAGCTTGCTCTCTGCCAGCTTGCCTCCTCCTGCTCTACCCTAACTGATCCCAAATGCATTATCACTCCCTGACTGGGGCGACTAGCCTGCTTCTCCCTGATGTTCAACACTCCTCGGTACACAGATTTCTAACAACTTATCTTGGAAAATGCTTAGTCCTAATTTACAAAAGGCAAAAGAAAGAGAAACAAAGTCCCCTCCATAGATGAAGTCAACCTTCTCAAATATATGTGTGGCAACACCAGGAGAAAAAAAAATATTTACTCCTCCTGAGTGCTGTGCTTTGAAATGGATTTCACAACTGTGAGTATATTGTTTCAAATTATTTTTGCAATTAAGGCCAAGCATCATTGCTGTCCAGACAAAGAATAAGGTGGGCCCAAACACCCTTCAAAACTTGCTCCAATAAAAAAAAAAAAAAAAAAATCCAGTATAGGATACCATAACAGCAAGGGTGCCAGGAGGGTCAAAGAGCCCATAACACTACAGGTTATTTATATAATAACTAACTTAAGTTGGAAGGGACCTCTGGAGGTCTTCTGGTCCAGCCCTCACTCAAAGCAGGACCAAGTTAGACTAAGTTGCTCAAGGCCTTGTTCAGTCAATTTCTGATCATCTCCAAGGATGGAGGTTGCACAACTTCTTCAGGTGCCTGCCACTGTGTTTGGCCACCCTCATTATGCAGTATTTCTACCTTACCTTGAATCAGATTTTTCCCTGATGCCACTTGTGACCATTGACTCTCAACTTCTTGCTCTGCACCTCCAAAAAGAATCCAGCTTCCTCTCCTCTACAATTTATTTCTAATCACATTCTGTTCTCACATATTCCACATCTGATGACTGGTGAGAAATAAGCTCATTTAGGAGGCACTGTAAGATTTCCTGATGGTAGGGCAGCTCTGCCAAAGTAGGCACTAAGATTTCAGTAAGATTTTCTAATTCTTACTTCTCTGAAACCTTTTAGTGTGTTTGCCATAGAACTGAGTGTCAGTCTATGCCATGGCAATAGAAAGGTTTGACCCCAGCAGTGGCAAAAGTCCTGTTTGCCTTGCATCAAAAGTTGCCTAGAAGGAGAGCTTAGTGGTATGGGGAAAAAACAGAGCTACAATAGGTGATTCATTTGACATTGGCAAAAGTCTCACTAAACCCACAAAAAAAATGAAGGTGAGACATACCAGTCCTTATGAATTATCACACACACACACACAATCAGCTGAAGAAGGAGAAAGTTCTTTAGCTCCTTCAAGAAAGGGTAAATTTCTTGAATAAGGTGCAAAAGCACAGTGTGTCAAGTAACAGTGCTTAATAATGTCCCCAGAAGGAGACTTGATTGACCTACCTCACTACTTGATGTCATTAGATAAGAGGACATTTAAACTGCACATATCTCAAGTGGGCACTAAATGGACACTGACCAATAACTGATCTTGTGGACAAAAAAATGAAATACACATATTCAAATAAGAATAATTTTATATTTGTAGAACAAGTCAACAGTGTGAATTATATTGGCAGGCAGTATAAAAAAAGACCCAAGTTCTTAGGAATTATTTTGAAAAAATAAACAAGCAAAAAACATACACCATTTCTGAGTCTACTGAATTAGTTACTAGAGTATCTTATTAAATAAAGAATTATTATCACTCTAATGTTTAAAATGAATAAATAATTTTCAGCTTACTTCTTTCTTACCATTGTAGGTTATCCTTGGTTTTGTCAAACACATCACAAGATGTAAATCCATTTCATCGGAAGATACAAATTTTGAACATACAGGGCACTTGAATCCTATGGAAAATAAAAATATGTAAGCATGAGTACATTCGACCATGTTGCAAATATGTATATTCAAGCCAAAAAACTATTCTGCACACTTTAAAAGAAAGAAAGAAAAAAACCTGGCAGCTTTTCAGTTTTGACCTGACATTTCTTACATGACTATAATTCCCTTGGTTTCAGAAGATCTCAAAATGGACCATTGTTTCTGCAAATTGATCTGTTGCCAACTGTAAACATGTCACCACCTCTGGAATGCAAAGTTTCTCAACAACTCTAAGAACAGTTTAAGTCAAGTGCAAGAGGGTAATGTGACTACTAAAACAGAAATTAGAATTGTGTAGAGAACATAGCCACTAAAATCTGAACTTGGTCAGGAGCCCTGAATTAACATCTGCACTTTTACCAGGATCAGCATTGAAACTTTAACAAAGGATCTTGGTTTTACATCTCATCATGCAAGCTGGAGCATCTTTTACCAGTCTGGGGCACAGGGAAAACATTAACTCAGGGGTGTCACCTCACCTACTGAATCACAAATATTTCCTGTAGCACTGAATTTGTTTGACTTCTCTCATCCTAGCCAAGCATGACCTTGTTTAGCTTGTGAAGTCACAGCCTGAGGCAATCTGGGGCAAAGAATAATTAAGACAGTCTGGATTGTGATGCAACTGCATAACAGACCATAACAAAACTGCTTAATACTTTAATTTATGTCATTACCAAAGACAGTAATCTTCCAGTTAAAGGACAAGATTGGTTGGACAAGTTTTACAGTCCATAGAAAAGTCTGACTGATTTTGATCTGCTGAATAATTAACACACAACTGAGAGACAAAAAGCCACCAACAGGGATCTTCATGAGTAACAACTGTTAAGGAGTATACCTACAGGACATCATACAGCAAAAGATCTAAATCCATGCTCAGTGCAAAGGAGCAACTATTTCTTTGATGCTGTTGAAAAGTAATGATGCAGGCATGTATAAATGGCCACCACACCTTCCACCAACATCCACATCTGGGCCTGCTCCCACATGTTTTAGTTTGTTGCCCCTTGCTTTTGTACTTCTAACCTTGGGAGTCCATAATGAACAGAGTCAGTCAAGGATGACAAGCGACTTGATGCTGCATTTTCAAATTACTGATGCCTGAGAATTTTGATCTTTACTGTTAATTATTATCCAGATGTAGATCAAGCAATTAACCTGAAGCATTAGCACTTGATAGAAATACTGCATTTCATTTATCAAGACAATTATTTTTATCTTTTTAGTGCAGCTAATAGGAAGCAAGTGAAAGCAGACAACTGGTAACACCCAGGAGGAACTCTGAGCAGCAGCTGAACATGTGCTGGAAACCACTTCCTGAGACAAAGTACAGTTCTGATTCTTCCCATTTTAGTCATAAGCAGTTCATATTTATTTCTTCTTGTGTCAAGCTTACAAACTTGTGTCAGTTTAAATATTGCTCTTCTATCCTTATTTTTAATCCTCCTCCCCTAACCCACATCTTTACAAATAACAGTTACAAACACAGGTTAATAAGCATTCAACAGCCAAACACATCTTTTGGAAAAAACAAGTTGAAAGGATTAATTTACTTGTAGAAAAAGCCACTATGTAGTCTCTTTCCCCCAGCCTGCATCTCAACATGACTAAAACCGAAATTAAGTATCTCAGTCCTCCAAACACCCAAAACCACCCATAACTGTTTGTCGTGGTTTAGCCCCAGCCAGCAGCTAAGCACCACCCAG